GTTGTTTTCTTCCTCCCGCATCGTAAATTGGATGTCCGGGAAGACGCTGATGAGACGTTTCTTGAATCTGGGTACCTGATCCCGTTCGACGACGATGGTGTTATCCACATACCCCAACCAGAATTTCGGTCTGTGCTGTTGGAAGACCAGCGACCCCAGCCGTTGAAGGACCGCCTCGACTAACAGTCCGAAAACGGAGACATATTGGGGTCCTCAACACCTGTTCGTAGATTTTTCCGTCAAAAGTAAAGTACTTCCTGAGACAGAACATCAGGAGTTGTAGAATTTGGGCACGTTCAAGCCGATTCCTTTAAGTCTTGGTCTGTTGCAAAGATTGTTGTGGCCTAAAGATTAAGTGTTCAGGAAAGCGACAAACACGATGCAAGTACTGCATTACAACAGCAACCACCCAATCAGCCACAAAAGCAGTTGACTATGGACCCCCTATCGGCGTGTTGACACGCAATGCAGCGAACCAGAAGATAAAGTTGCTGAGGTAAAATACCCTCGACGGGTATTCAGAGAAAAAGGCTACCCACGCAACTTCGTCAACCGGTGCCTACGCAAACGAGATGGCCAAAAAAGTCACACGGACCCCAAAATTTGGCGAGTGATCCCGTAATTCAAAAACGTCTCGGAGGCTATCAGCCGCCTTCTCGCACCACTTGGAGTTGTAGTCGCAGACAGGCCGAAAGCAACTATAAGGCGTCAGGTAATGGACCCGAAAGACCCACTGCAATGGCAAGAAACATCTCAAGTCATCTACAGGATCTGGTGCAGTTGCGGGCAAAGCAACTTTGTTAGAGAAACTGTCAGGCTTCTCTAGACGCGAATTGCTGAACACGTGGCAGCAATGTGGCGAAATAATGCCAATTCACAAGTTGCGGCTCATTCGACGAGATGCGGCCACACATTAAAATTTGATGAGGCCGAAATTCTCGCAAGAGGTGAAATTGGTTGAGCCAAGAAAAACTTGAGTCATGCTTCACGGGCTCCTAATCCATCAACAAGTGCAACGGTTTGCCCAATCCATATTTGGCGCTGAGATCCAATTTGATGAAAGCAATTCGCCGCTCGGGAAACGGATAAGCAACCACCTCATCCTATACCAGTACCGGAGGGCGAGATGACCGGGCAATCATCACGCCCGAGTCCCCTACGCGTGACGAAAGGTCAGCAGGTCAGAGTCCGCGTGCCATTCAACAGACCACCAACACTCAAGAAGGCAATTACGGTTAATTTTCGTCGTATATTTGCAGTAACTACTGTATCATTTAAATACTGCAAACTCCTGTGCATGTGCTACCCTATCTGCTATTGCTCTCTGACTGTCTCTGATGACGAATCCACGATGGATTTCGAAACGTCAGGCACATAAAAGTATTTTCCAAGCGATTGAGCCATTTTCTTCCTCATTACTTCCTAGGACTCACATGTTTGCTTGTATTATCAAAGGAAGAATCTCTTGATCGCTCCTAGGATGTCCATAACTTTCTTTGCAATTTTCGTTGAGTGCGTTCACGGTTTAAGTGTAGGCGTCAGCACAAATCTAGATCCCTTGGCTCGTTTCTTTGCTAGAATGGGTGATTTCGATGACCTACTTATGTCCATTATAAGTGTGAGAGTTAAATGAACATATGTTTGTAGCTTTTAACCTCCTACCCGAATTTTAATTTAATTTATTGATGGCCCATTTAAAGGCAAGATTAAAAGAGGAATTCAGTAAAAGACCGAACTGCCCGGAAAAAACCCCTGAGTCAGTCTCTCTCGTGTTTTATTTTGGGGTAATAGACTTCAGTTCGTTGAAGTTCGAGACAGGGAAGTATTAAGACACCAACACAGTGTTCTTAATCTCCCCTGATATTAACGTATCTAGTATTCTGCACCACGGGACTGCGTGTCAGCGGACGGTTGCTCACAGTCGGCTGAAGAAATAATCATTTGCGGGCATCGGTATCAGCAAAATTGCTCTCATCATGAAGCCTGGCACAGGATTCAGAGACTGCGAACGCCATCAGAATGGAAGAGAGATTCCACCGAGTCAGTATCTCGTGTAAAATAATGGAGCGTTGTATCAAGAAGCATTTAACGGAATTCATGGAAAGAAACAAAATATTATGCGATGGCCAGCACGGCTTTCGGCGAGGATGCTGTTACCTCATGAGTGTATTCTTCTCGCATGAGAAGTGGACAAGGGCCACAGATAAGGTCTATCCAATTTATGGAATAAGCTTCGTCGACAGGAAAGCCTTCGATAGTGTACCGCACAGGCTTCTTTTACAGAACAACTGGGACGTGGGAATTAAGGGAAAATATTAAAATTGAACAGCAGTTTCTTTTCTCACAGAAAACAAGGGATCGTGGTTGGAAACCTAACTTCGGAATGGGCAAAAATAGAGTGTTGTACTAAAAGGCTCAGTTTTGGACCAGCTACTCTTCCTAATCAATTGCCTGGATGGCGCAGGTGTCGTGTTTACGAATGATATAAAAATATGGGCTGAAGTTAGCTACGCTGACGACGCAAAAATATAAAAATTGAACATCGATAAAATGGTTATCTGGTCGTTCAAGTGGCTCATTAGTTTTAATGTATTCAAGTGTCTGGTCGTACACATATGTCTTAGTGAAAAATTGTTGCAGAAAAAATAGTTATTTTATAAACGGCACCATATTAAAATAGGTGGAATAGCACAAAATTCTAGGCCTGTGGACAACCGCGAATTTGATGTCATCAGAACACGTTAAAAATGCAGTCCAGAAGGCAACTGGTACGCTGCACTGGATTAATCTAGCGTTCAAAATCCTCCCACCTGAACTCTTTGGAAAAATACTTGGCGCCTTTTTTAGACCACATCTTCAGCACGGAGTAACAGTTCGGACACCATGGTTTAAAAAATATGTGGACCTTCTCAAACAAGTGCAGTGGAGGATGAAGAAGATGGTCGATGTACTTAGAGAATAACCATACCAGGAGAGATTGACAAAGCTTGAACTATTTCCCTTGTCTTACAGGCACCTATAGTATAGCCTGCTTTGGACATTTCAGATAATCCGGGGCCATGGTTCCTCCAAGAAAATGGGGGATTTCTTCGAGTTAGCCAACATAAATCACCTGGATGACCATCCTGACAAAGTCACAAACTAAAGCACTCGACTGGACTTCGTTTTCAAACTGATTCGCACTGTTGATAGAGGGGGCTGGATGATCCACCAAAGATGAGACGCGTAAAATCGAGTTTGAGGGAAGCCAGTTCTCCTATCATGGCCGCCATCTGTTGCAAGTGTTGTTCATGCCCGGTCGCAAGAGTGTCAGTGGAAAGCAGGGCGATGGAGGGAAACTGGAAGCACTGCACCACCGGAGTCCTGCTCCTAGTGTTGGCTTCTCGTGAAAACACGAGATCCTGTGAAGTCGATGCCAGAATGTTCTTGGCATCGTTTCCAAGGTGCTCTAGGGAGATTTCTTTAAAAGCGTCCTTTTATACTATACGATCACCCGGAAGAAGTTCTCTGGGCCTTCGATCACCCTTACTTCTCTCCTAAATGAGGTATGATACATTTGGCGGTCGGATATACCATAAAGTCAGAGGAGTGCCGCGTTTAGGAAGGCGTAAGATAGGTTGGGAGGAGGACTATTTATAACAAATGGCACTTGCGCCCTAAGCTGCAATGGGAAAACCTGAATAAATCTGTAGAAATTTTGACGTCCTTCGTAGTTTTCGCAGCTTGAATCGATGCGAATGAAATATAATTCAGGCGCGTTTGTCAAACATCGGGAAAAGAGGAAGAAAGCGCACTTATAGCGTTATCAGTCGTAAGTGCGGTAGGGACTGATAGAAAGTGCACACGAGAACAGAACTACTGCGACACTCTGTAAGGATTGACTAGATTGTAGACGAGTAAGAAACGCCTGAATACGCACTGCGCTTCCCAGTTTAGGTTCATCACTCTAGCGAGCATCAGCGGTCGATAATGAGGCTCCACACTAAAAAATAACGATAAAAGCTAACTACGCCGACCGGTATAGAAAAATCACAATAGGTCAAATACCAGTTTTGAAACCGTAGCTGATAGAAATTGAAGTACTGTATGTAGTTGTTAATTAACCAACTTAAATAACTGGAGTCGAAGGTACGTTGAGTAAATGCGGTACAAATATAATAAATCTAATAAGTTGTGTTCAAAAAAATAATGGCAAAGGGTTTTTCCAAATGCAACACCTGTTCTTTTTGTGGGGTTTGGCCTTGGACCTTGATAACCATATATTATGCACGCCAGTTTCGCCAGTAAATGTTCTGTGCACATACAATGTACATAAAGGAGAAGAACTTATCATAATAATAATAAATTGTATATTTAAGGTCCGGGGACACTTCATTGCATTTCTAAAAATTTCTTTCAGCTAAAATTTTTTGTCTTGTGCAGGAGTTTCCACGTTAACTTGAAGCTGCCACTTTTACAATTGAGCTAGCTGAAGTACCTGCGCCGATTCCCATCAAATACACTGAACTGAAACAAATCTACGATTCTGCAACACTTCAATGTTCTCTGCCGTAAGGCACTGCCCAGTTCACATATAATTTTTTTCTTAAACATTTGATTCACTGAGCACTTTTATTTTACTCTTGAACTAGAAGTAAAGGTTTTAAATTAATATCTTCTTAAGCTGATTTTCGTAGACAATGCGTTGTGTCCAGGTCGCAGTTAATATCATAAGCACCAGAAATGTTGTTATTAAGGGCACTATTTGCCTTGTTATAGCTATTTTACATGAAGATGGCTTAGAATACGTACTGAAACCACTACAGAGATACTATTATCAAAGACTTCCAGCTTGCTTCGAAAGCATTAATGCTTAGATCAGACGCCAGGTGGCTGATTTTTTTGAATTGGCAGAAGTGAAACACCTCGGAGGCCATCCATAAAAACTGAAGGAACGCCATGCCAAACCAGAAGTGTGGGGCAAATTCTTCGCCCACAGGGTCATTGATGACTAGAGCGCGATAATCACCGCATGGTCGGCAATCATCGGATAACTTTTTGGGAACCATGTGCAGTGGTGAAGCCCGTGGACTGGACGAAGGACG